GTAATGATGCAATACTTTGCATGTCTTGTGTGTTCCTAAGACACATGCTGTAATAGTTGCTTTTCTAATTTAAATTAGCACTGTTTTGTTATTTTCTTTGGGGTATTGTCTCACGATCTAACTGAAATCATGAATTGCAGAGAAAGCAAGGATTGAAGAACAAATTAAAGCTGCTGAAGCTTCTGCGCGAATGAGGGTAGATACTGAGTTGAAAATCCAGAGGGAGAGAGAAAGAGAAGCTGCCAGGATTGCATTGGAGAAGGTATCTCTCTCATCATAATGGTAAAACAAGAAAGTGTGAAATTATATGAAAGGTGAAGGCAATATCTGTATCTCAGTTGTTCTAAGGGCATGTGTCTAATTAGCACCGGGACGGAAATGGGGACGGGAAACTGTAATGTCAAAATATCAAGGTACGGGTACGTCAAGGAAATGTCGAACTAAAAATTAAAATTTTACTTGTATAGGTAAGATTTACGTCCAACAAATATGAAATAAATAAACAAAACATATGTCCTTGTTATAAATGTTTCATTCAGTGACGAACACACTCCAATTCTGGCTCATCTAAGGATAAATTAGCCAAATATAATCTGAAGCCTCTCACCCAAATACCCACCATCCAACAAACCAGTAGATGCCACTCGCCAACTTCAGCTGTCCCGCAGACTAGCACTCCTACTCGGAATCGTCTATTCTGCGTCCTGTGAGCGTCGCCTATTGCTCTATTTTTAGTAAACCAAACTGGACCAGGCAGGTCAGCCTGGAAATCGGTGAACCGGCCACTTATCCGTTCCGGTCATCTACTGACCCACAAATGTAGTTAAAACCGGAAAAATTTGCCTGCCTGCTCGGATCAGGGCGCAACCCGGACCCGTGGAAACCCAGAAGAATCCGGGTGCAAGTCAAATGCAAAAGTTATTTCGTCGCTGGGATTCGAACCCTGCTTTGTCTTGAGAAATTCCAACATTCACTCCAAATGACCGCTTGGGAGTAAAAGTGTGAATTTCATTTGGGACCGGAGGGAGTATAAGTTAACTTGCAAAATACTTTTAACTATTATAATAAGTATTATTTTTAAACAAAGTATGTTATATACTTCGTATTTAAATATTATTTACTATAGAAGGGAAATCAAAATGTAAATATTTTATAAATGTACAAACTAAATTTCAAATAATATTATTGATTCATATAGGCCTAAACCTATATTTTAAAATATGATGAATGTGTGAACATCTTTGAATATTAAACATTCAAAAATACTTCAGAATTCTTATTCAATACCATGTTGAAATATTCAAATATTTTAAAACTAAAATAAATATCTTACTCCCTCCGTATTTTAAAGAATGCTACATTAGGTTTGGCGCATTATTTAAGGAGTAAAGTAGTAGGGGTAATGAATAGTGTAGAAAAAGGAGAGAGGGTGTAAAAGTATGCGAGGGTTTAAAATACGGAGCATAACAATTTTGAATATGGAATTTTTTTGACTAAATATTATCATTATTTTATCATAATGAAGAATAAATGTTTTTATTTTTTAAAATATATCAATATATGTTTGTTATTATAAATTTTATATAAAATTATAGTTTACCAGGTTTTGCAGTGTGACCGGGTTGACCCGTCAGGTCTGGGTTGGCCCGTGACCCGATCATTCGTCCAGGTCACTCTCGTGGTCTGGTTTTTATAACATAACTATTGCTTCAACCTTCAAGTCTGAATCGCCCTTTGTCGCTCTCTTCTTCCCATCGAGTGTTGTACTGTTGTTAAGTGAGGATTTCGCAAGTCGCAGCCCTCACAGGTATTGTTTCAGACTTTCAACCTGCCGATAGAGAGTACGACTGATTGACCGACCCAGATTTTTTTTATAAAATTTACAAGAAACGCGTCAGCCCACCTCAAATTTCGTTTCCGAAACGATTACCTACGCAGCCCAACAGCCCACAACCGCAGAATCATTTTCCCGGCATTTCTAGCTGTTTCCAGGTGTTTTGGTTTCTGAAACGTTTTCCGAGATGGGAACATCCACCCGATTGGCGTTTCCGTGCTTCCTAGGCATGCTTGTGAGTGATTTATTGGAGGAGTTTTTATTTAATAATTCTAAATCTAGAGGATTAGATTTGATTTGCGGTAATCACTAAATTACAAGATAATTCTAAATATTATAACATTAAAAGAACTATCTGAATATGAAAAATAAAACCTCCACCCATCTGTAATGAAAACCTCTTCATGATGTTTTTTTGTACACAGATGGAAAAAACTGTTGATCTTGACGACAATTTGAAGATACTCAAAGATCTTGAGAAGCTTTGTCAATGCCCACGCTCTAATGATATACTTGTCTGTGGAGTTGGAGTGAATCTGTCTGAAGCTAGAAATCCACTAGAGAGGCTTGGTTTGTATATAAAGGAGGAAATTCTGCAAGAAGATGAAGCAGTTTTAAATGAAGATGGGGAAGAGGGGGAGATCCTCATCTAATAAGGACTACTGACATGCATGCCTCTACTCGTTTTTGTTCCCTTGGCTCACCTCCACTGGTTTATAATATATAACGTGTTGAGAAGTGGAGAAAATATGGAAGTGGTTATAATGTTTATAGCCTTTTGGGGAGTGCAATGTTGTGGAAATTGCTACTCAAATCGTTAGAAGATGGAATGAAATTGCGACTGATTAGGCTTGGAAAATTGTACATTGAATTTTGTAAAAATATGCTAATGAATCTATCTTAAAACATAACATACTACATTCCCAGTATTTGGAAGCATCTTTAACTTGTGTTATTGTCTAGTGTCAAGGAAGGGAGGTGTAAACACGCCAAGATTTGTTCAATGTTTTTGTGCAGTTGAATAAAAATAGCTCCTTTGGAGCCTTGGAGGTAATATCATTTATCAATCTAAAATATTTCAATATTACTCCCTAGGGATGGACCCAACCGGTTCGGCCCGGCCTGGAACTGGCCCGGCCCGCCACTGTGCGGGCCCGGACTGGCCCACCACCGTGCGGGCCCGGACTGGCCCAGTTGGTGCTAATCGGGCCTGGGCTGGGTGGGCTGGGCTCGGGCCCTATATTTGTTGAATCGGGCTGGGCTGTTTGGGCCGGGACAGGGCTTTTTTTTATTTTTTCAATTTTTTTGTTTTTCTTGGTTAGGGCTGGGTGTTGTGAAGGGGGGGGGTGGGGGGGGGGGGGGGGTTGGGGGTTAATTAGAAAGCAAAAAAAAATACCTTGACCTGGGCCTGGCCTGGCCTAGCTCGGTTAGGCCTGGACCCGGTATCAACCCGGGCCGGTTCTGGGCCCAACAATTTGAAAAAAAGCCCACTCGGGCTTGGCCCGGAACCGGACTGGCCCGGGTCCATCTCTATTACTCTCCCACAGACGTGGAGAATCCGGGACATAATATCTAAGCAAGTAATGCACGAGAAGTGATAACTATATGCGAATAGATAGGAGTATTTAATAACAAAAAGTAAACTATGTTTGATTGATTTGTTTTGGCGAACTCACTACGAGTGTAATGTTTAGTTTTCTGGAGAAGTTTCAATTATTTTCATTTAAATTGATTTTTATTTTTTAATTGATTGAAAATTAACTTCGAGTTTAAAGCATGATGGATATGAATAAGGTGGACAATTTGATCAGAGGGCTCACTTCTTTTATTAGTTTATACATGAGATTGGATTCATTTACTATAAATAATGTTGAGAATATATTGTGAATTATCTGAAGGGTTATTATAGCTTGAGAATTTATTGTCATGCATGGTATAGACAGGGATGGATTCGGGCCGGGTCGGGCCCGGGCCGGGCCTAGGCCCGGTCGGGCCGCCGGTTCAAGAAAAGTGGGCCCGGGACCGGCCCGCGGGTTGGACGGGTCCGGTTCGGGCCGGGCCACCCGCCCGGGTCACGGGTCGGGTCCGGTTCGGGCCGGGCCGGTTAATTTTTTTTTATAATTTATATTTTATAGTTTATAGTTTTATACGAGTATTAAAAACAAACTTCAATTGCATTTATTTGAAATGAAATAGGAACTACATTTGAAAATTAAAACAAATTTTAACAGAAACATTTTGAAAATTGTAATCAATCGGAACTTCTCGCACCTCCCGATCCTTTAGCTTTGTCACATGACTTCATATGCTTGATTGCCATCCCGAATCCGTCTGAAGCCCCCATGATACATTTTTTTTCGCACCATTTGCAAATTGCGTACCACATCCCGGTCTTCGGGTCCTTCTGCTTATCAAAATTATACCGTATAATGGCATTTTGATTTTCCATCTTAACTTCTTGGAGAAGAGAATTAGAGAGTAGATATATAATATATTGGAGAATAAAAGAATTAGAGAGTAGAGAGTTAAGAATAGGATTTAGGAAGAATTGAAGAAGAGATATGAAAAAATGTTTAAGAGTAGGAGTATTTATAGGTTTTTTTACCCCCTCACCCCCCCGGACCCTCCCTTTACCCCACCCCCAAAGCCTCAACGGCTAGTAGCCAAAAAACAAAAAAAAAGTTTTTTTTTTTAAATAGACCCGGACCCGGGCCCGGGTCACAAAAATCCAGAACCGAGCCCGCCCCCTCCCTTCCCATCGGTTCGGGTCTATACCCGGTCCTGGACCGCCCGACCGGGCCGGTCCCGGGCCCGCACAGTACCGGGCCGGGCCGGGTCACGGGCCGGGCCGGGTCACGGGCCGGGTGGCCCGAACCGAATCCATCCCTAGGTATAGTTATACGGTAGTGTAAAAAACTTACAATAAAAGCATTTGAATTGGTGAACCATGCCTCACGCCTACCACAAAACCTCATAAAAGTTGTATCATCGAGTATTTGATATTATTATCCATCTCTAAATGTTATATTTTGAAGGTGTTGAGAGATTAATATCAGAACTGAATTATATTTAGTACAAGAGCAATATATAAATGTGAATGGATGAAAACACCACTGGCAGTACGTCTAACGCCGCACCCTTTTCCTACTCCTAATCATGAAAGAAATTGAACCTAGAAAAAGATGGTAACATTTGGATATATAGAAAAAGGACTCATCTTAATTCGTATTAGTAGTTTTGTACAGAGTATTATACTACGTATATGTATATATAGTGTACAGATACACGAGGATAAGAAAATGTTTGAGTTGTTGCATGTATTAATTATATTAAATCAAATGCGTGATTGTTGGATTAGTTAGTTGTACATAGATTTAATTTGAGGTTAGGTTGTTGTTGTGTGAGTGTGAAGTGCGAGCAAGGAAGCATAAACTCCGTCTTTGATACTCAAAAGTTCGTCGTGTCTTCCCTTCTCTGTGACCACTCCATTCTTCAGCACTGCAATCAAGTCTGCCCTTGCAATAGTGGACAGACGATGCGCCACCATGATGGTGGTCCGGTTCACACTCACGCGCTCTAATGCCTCTTGCACAACACGCTCAGATTCATTGTCTAGTGCACTTGTAGCCTCGTCCAGCATAAGGACTCTGGGGTTCTTAAGGATCGCCCGGGCAATAGCTATTCGCTGCTTTTGGCCTCCTGATAGCTGCACCCCTCTCTCCCCCACCACAGTTTCGTAGCCCTGAGGCAGCGCTGAGATAAAGTTGTGCGCATTGGATGAATTTGCCGCCTCCATCATCTCTTCCTCTGTCACATTGCCGCCGCAGCTCCCATATGCTATGTTGTCGCGAATCGTCTCGTTCAACAGCACTGGCTCTTGGCTCACCACCCCCATTTGTTGCCTGAGCCACCTCAACTTTAGTTTCCTGATTGCAACTCCATCTAGTAACACCTCTCCAGAATCAGGATCATAAAATCTTTCTAATAGCCCAATCACACTTGATTTCCCACATCCACTTTCTCCTACTAGAGCACATGTCTTTTCAAAACCAAAGCATTATCAAATTTTATATTATACATGTTTGTATCCTTATCATCATGATATACATATATATATATATATATATAATGATAATAAAATCTCATGAAATTAAGCTAAGCATGCATATATACTTGCGTACCTTTCCAGCGGGCATGGTTAGGCACAAGTCCTTGAAAATCAAGGTATCAGGGCGAGTTGGATATCGGAAAATGACATGCTGCAACTCAATTTCTCCCCGGACGCTAGCCAAAACTATACCTTGCTCACTACTACTATCGATCTTTGGTTTTCTTTCAAGAATGTCAAATATGGAGGCCGCTGAATCCCAAGCCTTACTAAGGTCTGGTGCTGTGATAGAAGCTTGAGAGACCCCATGTGCAGTCGTTGCCAATGCAAAGAAAACCTGCATGTCGATCAAATTTCATCATGGAACAGCTTAGAAAAGTGGATTAATTAATAATGACCAACTGTAGGAAGGTACGTATATTATATATAGTATGTATGACCTTAAAGATTTGAGCAAAGCTGGCCTTGTCATGTTCAACAAGAATGGCTCCTACATAGAAACATAACGCAGTTGCAAGATAGAGAACTGCAGAACCAATTCCTAAACTCATCCCGCTCACAATTCCTACTTTGATCCCTTCCTTCAAAGGGCCTTCACATTTCTTTTCATACATCGCCATAACCTTCTCTTCTGCACAAAATGATACAACCGTTCTAATACTCCCAACTGCATCATTTGCAATTTGACTCGCCTCTTCGTACATCTCCTACGTACACATACATACACCTAATATTTTAATGTGCAGATATTTATAATATCAAATCAATCGTTTATAGATGAAAGTAAGTTTTAAAAAAGATTATCAATCGTCAAGTATGATCTGGTGTGTTTATAATATAAAATTAATTGTAAAAGATTTTCTATTCGGAGTATGTTCTGGTCTAACTTGGGACTCAGAGGAGTCCAATTAAAAACACCCTCAATTGATGGAGACATGACCCATATAGGATTGTAAGAAATCATTGCCATGCATATATAGTAATGGTAGGTAGAGAGTAGGATATGATTACCTTCACGCCTCTGCTAAAGCCTTCGTAAAACTTCATCTGTACAAAACCTTGCAATCCTATAAACGGTAACATAAGGAGAACAGTTATAGCCAGAACCCAATTGGATGAGAAGGCAATTATGAGGGCTGCCAAAATGGCTGCTATGTTCTGAATGATAAGTGCCAAAGCGTCTCCTACTAGCTTCCTAACACTGGAAGCATCAACAGACAATCTTGCCCCAATAGAACCACTGCCACAAAATAAAAACAAATAATGCTATTATATGTTTTAGTAGATCAGAGAAGGAATAATGATCAATAAGTTGAAAATGGTATTTGTGTACGTATATATATGTAATGTACCTTGAGTTTGAAGGATGATCAAACCAGGTTATCTCTTGGTAGACAACTTTCTTGAATGTCAATGAACGTATTCTCTGAATTAATTTCCCACCCGCAACTCCAAAGAAGAAATCCTGGATGGTCACAACTAATAAAGTAAAAAGGCCGAAAAGAATGTACATGAATGCCCAGAAGATGGAATCTTTTTGCAATTTGGTTTGAGGCTCAAAGAAAACTTTGATCGCTATGGAGAGTAGGGTGCCCGATAAGGGGAAGATCAGTCCTCGAAAGCATGCAGCTATTACTCCCAGAAACAAATATGGAATCTCTGGTTTGTTAAGAGCGGCAAGCCTTCTGAAAGACGCGGCTGCGGTATTAGTGTTCCTTCTCTTCAATGTTTTATCACCCACTCTTTCTTGGTCTTCATTTCTGATTTGGTCTTCTTGGATGTAAATTGGATCAGTAAGCGTGACAGACTTATTTGTTGATAACTCCTCCTCCTCCTCCTCCTCCTCCTCCTCATCATCATCATCATCATCATCATCATCATCATCATCATCATCATCATCATCATTCTCCACATTTGCATATGCCTGCTGTACTTGCAATCTTACTAACTGCGCGTATACCCCACAACTATCTCGGATTAACTCATCATGGCTTCCTAAAAAGTACACAAAATACGTACTACTGAGTCGGACATAAATAATCAAATGACCACTCTCGGGTGCTTGGTCCTAGCTCAGAAACTATCTTTTGCCAGACTCAGCGAGGTTGGTCCTAGCTTAATTAGAATATGAACAGACACTTACTTCTAAACAAAGCAGTCCATACCGTACGTATTCGCGGTATGATAAACTTCTATACCGTTACTGAACCAAAACTTTCAGTATATCGTGTTTTGGTACCGAAAAATCGGTTTGACAAAAGACTCATGCCTTACCATACCTTGAAATCAGTATACCGAATATTTTTCGGTATAACACACCATACCTTTTTAATATACAACACCACACCTTGAACAACTTTTAAAGTTGAATTTCATGATTTTACATTAAAGTTAAATCCTACCAAATAGCCATAACAAGTACCCCATTACACAAAACCAAAAAGCTATAACAAGTACCCCATTGCACAAAATAAAAAAGCCATAACAAGTACCCCATTACAGAAAACGGTTTTTTCGGAATACTAAAATTTGATGTTTAAGCCATATATAATAATACTCCCTCCGTCCTTAAAAAGATTGTCAAGTTTGACTGACACGTAGAATAATAAAGTAAAAACTGTGTGGTAGAGATTTGTGCAGTGGAGAGAGAAACAACAAGAGCCACAATTGATTGATTAAAAGGGAAAGTGACAAAGTTTTGGGGACAACCAAAAAAGGAAAGTTGGCAAAGTTATAAGAGACGGAGGGAGTATCAAATAATGCACTTGTTGGCCGTCACCAACTTTCTGCTCTGTACGTTTTAATGCCGCCGCCCAATTGAAGTACTGGAACAAAAGAATGGTGGGTGTATCGATAGTAGGTTAGAATCGATATGGGCAACTAGGCCTTGATTTTGATATTTTTGTTGGAAAATAGTTTTAATTCAAATAAATGTGGGAAACTAAAGAGTTGCTAGATACATGAAAAGACTTCCCAGAAAGTTCTATTTTTAATGTTCCTATTAATGATGTTTCAATGTCTATTATATATATAAAGGCATCTCCTGCAATTCAAAGGCAGGTTCTTGGACAGAATATGTTTCCCTTCTTATACTACAGCACATAGTGTGCGTGAGTGTGTGTTATTGTGTCTGATTTCCTAACAGTTTGGTATCAGGGCAGTGTTGACGTTTGATCCAAGATGATGTCCGGTAACCTGTTTGGAAATCTACCGATCATGAAACTCGAGAAAGGAGAGTATGATCGATAGAGCGTTCAAATGCGGAACCTGCTCGGTGCATATGGCGTCTGGGACGTAGTTGAGGAAGGTTTTAACGAACCGGCCGAAGGAGCCGTGTTGACAGCGGCACAGCGAAAGGAAGCAATGGAGATGAAGCAAAGGGAGTTTCTGGCCCGTACATTAATAAACTACGGGCTGGACAAATCTGGGCAAGAACGAGTCAAAAACATGACAACCAAGGAGGCATGGGAGACTTTAGAGAAAACTTTCAGAGGCAGCGACCGAGTGAAACAGGTACGACTACAAATTCTCCGGGGCGAGCTCGAGTCGATAAGGATGAAGAAATCTGAGCTCGTCTCTGACTATATTGAACGGGTAACAAGGGTGACGACTCAAATGAAAAGAAATGGAGAGACTATTCATGAGTCTAAAATAGCTGAAAAGATCTTACAGACACTCACAGACAAGTTTGAGAGCGTCGTGTGCGCAATCGAGGAAGCCAAAGGCCTCGAGAACCTAACACTAGAAGAACTGTCTGGATCCTTGGAAGCACATGAGAAGAGAAGGATGCAAAGGGAAGAGTTAGTTGAACAGGAAGAACAAAGCAAAGTAATCCTAAATGAAGAAAAGGCTCTGTATAATGATCAGTCCCGTGGCCGAGGCCGGGGCCGAGGAAGAGGCCGAAATGAATATAAACCAAATGAGGGAGACAACATGACAACTTGGAGAGGTCGCGGGCGAGGAGGTAGTAGAGGTGGTCGTGGTGGACGACCCAACGTAGAATGCTACAACTGTGGTAAAAAAGGCAATTTTGCGAAAGATTGTTGGTCCAAAATAGGCCATTTTGCGAAAGATTGTTGGAAAATTTAAACATAGCCGAACGGGAGATCAACAGTGATGAAGGCATACTCCTGCTGGCACACAAAATAGGTAGCCTAGAAAGTGATGCAACCTGGTACCTGGATACTGGGGCCAGCAACCACATGTGTGGATACAAACATTTATTTTCGGAACTGAAGGAGATCCAAGGAGGAAATGTATCTTTTGGCGATACATCAAAGGTCGAGGTAAAAGGCAGAGGAAAGGTCAGGTTCATGCAAAAGAACGGACAAGAAGGTGTGATTGAAGACGTGCTCTATGTACCAAACATGAAGGCAAACGTCATCAGCTTGGGACAACTAATGGAGAAGGGGTACCCAACCGATCTTAGAGGTCGCTACATGAATTTGAAGGACAAAAAGGGGCGAAGCATTACTCTAGTGAAGATGGCCAAAAATAGGATGTACAAGCTGGACTTGAGAAGCGTTAACCATGAGTGCTTGAAAGTCAATCTGAGAGACAAGTCACTCTTATGGCACATGCGTTTCGGACACTTGAACTTTGGTGGACTTGCCGAATTGAGCAGAAAAGGCATGGTACATGGTCTGCCAGACATGGATTTTCCAAAACAATTTTGCGAAGGATGTGTGTTCGGGAAGCATACTTGTAAGAGCTTTCCAAGAAAGGCGAAAAACCGAGCTAAAGCCCCGCTGGAGACAGTCCATACCGATATTTGTGGGCCAATCACACCAGAGTCTTTTAGTTGTCGGGGATACTTTATGACTTTCGTAGATGACTACACCACGAAGACCTGGATATACTTTCCGAGGGAGAAGTCAGAGGCATTCAATACCTTCAGAAAATTCAAGACACAGGTAGAGAAGGAAACCAGCCTCAAGATAAAAGCTTTGAGGTCCGATAGAGGCAGTGAGTACACATCTGATTTGTTCAAGGAGTTTTGCAGCAATGAAGGAGTCAGAAGGTTCATGACCGCCCCTTATTCACCTCAGCAAAACGGGGTGGCCGAGCGGAACAATCGGAGTATCATGGACATGGTCAGAACTATGCTTGGGAGCAAGGCTAAGCCAAAAGAGTTCCAGGCTGAGGTAGCCCGGTGCGCTGTATATGTACAAAACAGGTGTCCCCACTCGATTCTTGAAGACAAAACTCCTCAGGAAGCATGGATTGGTCAAAAACCAACCGTGTCACACTTGAGGGTGTTTGGCAGTGTAGCTTATGCTCATATCCCAAACCAGAAAAGAACCAAATTGGAAGACAAGAGTAAGACGATGGTAATGATCAGTTATGATGAAAGAACCGAGGGTTATAGATTGTATAACCCAGTTAATAAGAAGATTGAAGTAAGTAGAGATGTGGAAATAAATGAAGCCAACGGCTGGGACTGGAGCAAGGAAACAGAGATGGAAGTCGAATATGAGGTGACCGAACTCACCATCCCAGTACCGAGTACTGAATCTCAAGAAAAAAACTCAAGCGATGAAGAGGGAGATTTCCAACCAGCTGTTCACAAGTACAAAACTTTGGAAGATTTATACGAAAACACTCCAGAGATGCATTTGGTATGTTTGCTCGCCGATAGTGAGAACATTACCTTTGAAGAAGCCCAGCAAAACGAGAAGTGGAGAGAGGCAATGGCTGAAGAGATAAAGGCAATCAAGAAAAATCAGACTTGGGAGCTTGCTGATCTCCCACACGATCACAAACCAATTGGAGTAAAATGGATATTCAAAAAGAAATGCAATGCTAAAGGCAAGGTCGAGCACTATAAGGCTCGACTAGTGGCAAAATGATATAGACAGAAGGCAGGGATTGATTATGATGAAGTTTTTGCACCAGTAGTACGAATGGATACAATCCGATTGCTAATTGCTAAGGCTACCCAGATGAAATGACCGATCCATCAAATGGATGTAAAATCGGCATTTTTGAATGGACCATTGGAGGAAGAGGTGTATGTGGAGAAACCGCCTGGGTATGTGGTGGCCGGACAGAAGATGAAAGTATGGAGATTAAAGAAGGCACTGTACGGGCTGAAGCAGGCATCGAGGGTGTGGAATAAATGCATAGGCTCTTACCTGAAAAAGCATGGTTTCGAGCAGTGCCCGTACGAGCACGCCCTATACGTATTAAACAATAAGACTGGAATAATGTTTGTTGCATTGTATGTAGATGATCTGATCTTTATGGGCAGTGACCAGAAGATAGTGGAAGAATTCAAAAGGAGCATGAAACAAGAATTCGAGATGACTGACCTCGGAATCATGAAATATTTCTTGGGCCTGGAGGTTAGTCAAGGGGAGCATGGAACTTTTGTATCCCAGGAGGGATATGCAAAGGAGATTCTAAAGAAATTTAAATTGGAAGAATGCAAGCCGGTGGCGACTCCAATGGAAACAGGATCCAAATTATCTAAGTTTGAGGGAGGAGACCGAGTTGATGTCGAGCTCTACAGGAGTCTGGTTGGCAGTCTAAGGTAGCTGACCTGTACGAGACCGGACATTGCATACAGTGTTGGGGTTGTGAGCAGATACATGGAAGAACCTCACCAATCACACTGGAAAGCCATCAAGACGATTCTAAGATACATTCAAGGAACCAAAACAATCAGACTGTTTTACCAGAAGACGAATGAAACACGACTGATTGGCTATAGCGATAGTGATTGGTGTGGAGACAAAGATGACCGGAAGAGCACAAGCGGATTTGTTTTCAGCATTGGAAGTTCAATTTTTAGTTGGTTGTCAAAGAAACAACCAATAGTGACTTTGTCAACCTGTGAGGCTGAGTACGTCGTTGCCTCTCAATGTGTAAGACATGCTGTATGGCTAAGAAGACTTCTGAGCGAATTAATGCTCGGTGAAGCAGCACCAACTAAGATTCTTGTGGATAACAAATCTGCTATAGAATTAGCCAAGAACCCAGTTCATCACGAAAGAAGTAAGCACATTGACGTGCGATTCCATTTTATAAGAGAGCAGATAAAACGAGGAGAAGTAGAGCTGGACCATGTGACGAGCAGAGAACAGAAAGCAGACATATTCACCAAGCCTCTGTCAAACCCGATGTTCGATTACTGCAAGCGTGAGCTTGGAATGAAGGACAAGAGGGAATTAAAACTAAGGGAGGAATTTGTTGGAAAATAGTTTTAATTCAAATAAATGTGGGAAACTAAAGAGTTGCTAGATACATGAAAAGACTTCCCCAAAAGTTCTATTTTTAATGTTCCTATTAATGATGTTTCAATGTCTATTATATATATAAAGGCATCTCCTGCAATTCAAAGGCAGGTTCTTGGACATAATATGTTTCCCTTCTTATACTACAACACATAGTGTGTGTGAGTGTGTGTTATTGTGTCTGGTTTCCTAACAATTTTGGTATTCTTCTTTGTAACCAACTCTTCCTCACTCCTAAGTATGTAGTATTAATTTTGGGTTGCAAGAATATAATAGACTTTTAATAATATATTATACGTAGAACGTAAAAGAATATTTGGGTTGGGGGTCGGTATCGTATTATACCGTTTTTTAAAAAACATATACCGTTACCGCACCGAATTATTTCGATACGGTATTAATTACGGAAAACCGAATTTCCGGTATTTTTCGGTTAGGTAAGTGTGCTATAGCGGATTTTCTTTATTTCTATCCACCCCTACCCAGCACCCTAGCTAGCTCTAAGACTGAGTACAAAGATGATTTGTACCGTGTTCCACAAGTTTCCCACTTTCCAGTACGTTGATTAGATCGGCATTCCGAATCGTAGTCAAACGATGAGCAATAACAAGAGTGGTTTTGTCCTTCATAAGCTTGTCAAGTGCTTCTTGCACAACCCGTTCTGATTCTGCATCCAAAGCACTAGTGGCTTCATCAAGGAGAAGGATTTTTGGGTCTTTAACAATAGCTCTTGCTATTGCAATCCTTTGCTTTTGTCCACCCGAGAGTTGTGTTCCGTTTTCACCCACCACTGTATCAAGCCCCTATATATACATGTATAACAAAATATGCATGCATGCATGCACTTTGATTAAGGAATTAATTAAGTGGAATGAACTATGGATATATAATTAAATCAAAACTACTTTAATAGCTTTTATTTGAAACACATTAAAAAGTTGAATGATTTATATACCTTAGGGAGCTTGTCAATGAATTCGACAGCATTTGCGAGCTCTATTGCCTTTGTGATTTCTGTATCAGTAGCATTTGTCTTACCATATGCTATGTTCTCTTTTATGCTAGTAGAGAACAAGAATGGTTCTTGGCTCACTAATCCCATTTTCTCCCTTAACCACTTGACCTTGAAATTCTTGATATTAATGTGGTCTATGATCACTTCTCCTGAATCGGGATCATAAAACCTTTCAAGCAAATTGATGACGGAAGACTTTCCACTTCCACTAGGACCAACAAGAGCTGCAACTTTGCCACTTGGGACATGAAGTGAAAATCCTGCAAAGATTTGTGCATCTTTCCTTGCTGGATATGTGAAATAAACATCCTTGAATTCAATATCACCCCTCATGTCTTTCATTTCAATGCCATTTGAGTCATCCACATTGATATGTGTTTCTCGGTTTATTGTTTCAAACATTTTGTATGCTGCTGCCTGCCCTGCTGCAAATGCACTGAGAGATGGACTTGCTTGGCCTAGTGACCTGATATAAATATTTATGTTATTATCTTTGACTTTAATTTGTGATCAAACCTCCGGGCCGGGCCAACTGCGGTGTAATATTATTGAATTAAATTAAACAAATATACTTACGTTCCACCGGTAATGATGGCTAAAAGAATGTTAATCACGTCTCCTCCTACGTATCCATTGTGGATTATAAGCTTGGAACCGTACCATATAGCTAGGGCATAAGTACAATTAACCACTAGTGACATAACACCAAGTCCTAAACCAGAAGCCACTCCTTGTTGCACCGTTGATTTATACGCAATTTGGAGCTTGTCATCATATTTGTCTGTTGCACATTTCTCTCCTGTGAATGAGGCAACCTACACATAAACAACACATCAACACAATTCATTTGATATGAGATAGTGGCGGAGCCATAAAAACATGCCGGAATCAAATGTTGATGATGTAGAGTATCAAAAGGTCCAATCATTGTGATACAATACTTGAGTTGAATAGTTCATATCTAGATGAGATAAATGTTAGTTTAATTGAGATACAAAGAATAATTGGTTTGATATGTGTGTGTGATCATCTCAGGTAGTTCTAACGGGAAGCCCTGTCCAAACTTACCTAACAGACACCCTTCCCGGTGAAAGTTTTTGATGAAATATTTTTAGCGTATTTTTCATGAAGTCTAATTTATGTCCACCAAATTTCAGCTTAAAATTCAATCGAAAAGGCAGTTAAATAAATTATTGAAAACCGCTGCCCCAAAATGTACACAAAAAGGCAGCGTTTTCAATAATTTATTTAACTAACTTCCCGATTGAATTTTATGCTGAAATTTGGTTTGCATAAACTAGACTTGATGAAGACCATGTTCCAAAAAGTTTATCAAACAATTTCACCGGGAAGGCTCTCCGATAGGCAAGTTTGGACGGGGCTTCCTGTCAAAATTACCTGAGATGATCTTTTTGGTACGTGTGTGTGTGTGTAATATATTACAAACCTCACGAAGCTAATGAGTAAATAAGACATTGACTTTTAATTTATGAGTAAAATAATATACCACCCAGACCCCATCGGATCGACCCCAGATAAGAGATGATTTGTTAATATACCCATAAGCAACCCTACATATATAGACAGACCATCATCCATGCTAGGGACATGCATGTTAAGTGACACTTACTATTGTTAACTATTAAATCATCTCCCATCGTCTATATATACAAATACAAGTTCACATGATATAAGTCTTGAACGACTCCTCGTCTTCTTCACCTAGCTTTTGAAATGGAACTCATGCCAATACTCAATACGTAGATCCAAGACATAATATGTATAGTAGAGTCTAGCTTACCGTTCTAATCCCTTTTATTGTCTGCACTGCTAGATTTCCGGCATGTGCATATGCAACTTGTCCACGACTTGACATCTTTGACATGAGAGATGCTGTTAATCCACCCACGATAACGAGGATGGGTATGCATGAAGATAAAATCAACGCGAGCAGCCATCCTTTTATATATGCAATTGTGAAGCCTCCGATGAATGTTGATATAAATTGTATGAAGTTGCCAACCTGAAAACATTGCCTGGCCTAGTTACTATATTATATAGGAATAACAAGCCATAACTAAAACATTAAATATTCATTTGAGTATTTAGTTAAGCATTACTATATTATTAATTAATTATGTTCATAAATAATTTGAAACATAAGATCGAAAGGTATAGTACTTGCATGCATTCAACATATAGTTTTTAAAGGTATCAAGCTTAAAGGTATCCAGACAGGCCATGCATAGCCATGCACGTGAAAAGTTCAAGCTAAAGAATGATTGCAAGTTTAGATTGAACAAGATTTAGTTTGTTACCTAGTTTTTAGATTCTGAATTATTCAGATTAGTCTGTTTGATTAACTGGTTTGTTAGTCAGCTATTTGAGTCACAATAGCCATGTTTCCAGAATTCCAGCCATGTTTGTTACAGGTGCATGTGTGCCATCATTTCAGCTTTGTAATGGCTATTTAAACCCTTGGCTTTATTCATTTCAATATATGAGATATGTTGTAATTCTTTCATACTTTACGTTTCTTGTTCCAGCATTTGGTATCACAGCTAGAGAAGCAATCTAAGGGTGTGATTGAGTGTTTTTCGTGTGATGATAAAACTCTCTTCAAATATAGAGTGAATCAATGCAAAACAACAATGGTAATTATAATGGGAACTCGATTACCCAGTTGCCCGTGTTTCAAGGGACGAATTACTATTTTGGAGCTTGAAGATGAGAATTCTCTTCAAATCTCAAGAGTTAGGAGGCATTGTTGAAGATGGATTTGAAGACAATCAGCCAGAGAAGCCAGATCATGCTTTAAGGGACAAGAGAAAGGATGCAAAACACTCTATTTCATTCAACATGCATTGGATGATGAGGTGTTTCCTCAAATTGCAGAAACCTCTACATTAGAGGAAGCTTGAAGTATTCTTAGGCATGTAGAAAGGAATCATGGTGAGATCATAGTCTCTTACAAGGGAGTTTAAAACCTCCCAAATGAAGGACAAGGAAACTATATAAGAATCTCTCTATAGTTACAACTACCGTGATACAGATGAGATCAAGTCTCACCAAGTTGTGAGCGAGGTGTTGAGAAGTCTTGCAAAGAAGTACGAGCATTTGGTGACAGCTATTGAGAAGTCTAAAGACATGGAGACATATAACTTAGATGAATTAAAGGAATATCTTCAAGCTCATGAAGAAAGGCTTATCAAAGGTGAAGACAAGGAGGAAAAGGCCTTTCAATTCAACAAAGACTCATCCAACAAGGAAAAGTCTCAAGTCTCAACAGTCCTCTAAAGGTAGAGGAACATGCTGTGGAAGAGGCCAAACCAGTGATAGAAGAGAAGAGGATTTTAGTAGAAACTACTAGCTAGGGTCCTATCAAGTGTTACTATTATAACAAATCAGGCCATAAAGAAGCCTCATGTTGGAAGAAAGATGAGGATAAGAAGAAAGGAAAGAAAGAGAAAAAGCCCAATTATGTTGAGCATGAAAAATTGTTCATAGCCCAAATTAATTGTGACAATGGAGGGAGTTCTTTGTGGTATGTGGATAGTGGATGTTCACATCATACAAAAAACGCAAGGTGCATGTTTGAGGAGATAGACGACACAAAGAGGAGTATTGTTAGATTATGAGATGACAAACAACTCACAGGTGAAGGGAAAGGCACTATCTCATTTCAAACTAAACTTGGCAAGCCAAAGCTTTTGTACAATTTTAAATATGTGCTTAAACTAGCTCATAATCTACTCAGTGTCGGGCAACTTGTGAGTGGAGGCTACTCTATGATGTTTGAGGATGATATGTGCATCACCAACAATGGCGGAGCCACCTTATATCAAAAGTGTTCTCTTAAACTGTAATACCCGAGATTAATTTAAGAGGATTAATAGTACTACTCATACCAACAGAGGTGCATCTCCTTTTAAGGGAGCTCATCACCCAAGAACTCCAAAGTTAAGCGTGCTTGCACGAGAGTAGTCTTGGGATGGGTGACCCCCTAGGAAGTTTCTCAGGGCGCGCATGAGTGAGGACAAAGTGCGCGGTAAAGGCTCGTGGTGGTTTGTGGGGACAGTACTAGAGGTCTGGAGTAACTACCTCGGGGCCTACGGGGCCGGAGTGTTACAAATGGTATCAGAGCAACCCTGCGACAGTGTGTTGACCCGTTGGATATCGGGCGGGCACTTAGCGGGGCAAGATTCTGGGGTTTGATTGAGATTGGTTTAAGGGCGCAACGAGGACGTTGCGATCCTAAGTGGGGGTGATTGTAATACCCGAGATTAATTTAAGAGGATTAATAGTACTACTCATACCAACAGAGGTGCATCTCCTTTTAAGGGAGCTCATCACCCAAGAACTCCAAAGTTAAGCGTGCTTGCACGGGAGTAGTCTTGGGATGGGTGACCCCCTGGGAAGTTTCTCAGGACGCGCATGAGTGAGGACAAAGTGCGCGGTAAAGGCTCGTGGTGGTTTGTGGGGACAGTACTAGAGGTCTGGAGTAACTACCTCGGGGCCTACGGGGCCGGGGTGTTACATAAACACCCAAAATCCAAATCCTCAATCCACCACTGATCACCACAGAGTAGAAAATCAATGAGGTTGTTATGAGGATTGCTATGAGAAAGGGTAACGTATTCCCACTGAATCTGGTATGAAGTGTAGGTCAAACACTTATTGTTAAAGGAGATGACGGTGTTAAATTACGGAACTTAAAATATGGGCATTTGAACTCTCATGGCTTGACACCTCTCAGTGCAAAGTATTTTGAGTATGAATTACCACACATTGGTGACCTAGTGTTGTGTGAAGGGTGTGTATATGGAAAATAGGACAAAAGACCCTTTCCAAGTGGAGAACCATAAAGAGCAAGTGAGTGCTTGGAGTTGGTCAATTTTGATTTATGTTGACCTATGCAGACAAATTCTCTTAGTGGAAAGAAATATTTTTTGCTTCTTATAGATGACTACAACAGGATGAGTTGGGTGTTCTTCCAACATGCCAAGTCAGAATCATTTGAGAATTTCAAAGCATTGGTTGAAAAACAGTTGCAAATAAGTGAAAGATATAAGGACTAAGAGAGGAGGCAAGTTCATATCAAAGGAATTCACAAGGTTTTGTAAAGACCTAGGTATTCAGTGTGAGCTTAGAACACCATACGCACCAGAGCAAAATGCAGTGGAGAATACGAAAAATGGAACTATAAGTGAAATGGGCAGGTGCATGTTAAAATCCAAGGGTTGCTAAAAGAGTTTTGGAGTGAGTCAATAGCTACAGTTGTCTACATCCTTAGTATCTTGCCAACAAGGGCTATTATGGGCTCAACTCCAGCCATTTGAAGCTTGGAGGATGAAGAAATCCCCTGTAAGTCACTTAAGAGTGTTTGGATGTATTCCATTAACTATTATAAAATTGAGAACTATGCTAGATGATAAGGCTGAGAAGTGTGTATTTGTTGGCTACTCAACTCAGTCCAAAGCATAGAGATTGTAGAATCCATTGTATGGTAAGATTCTTATTAGCTGAAATGCAAACTTTGATGAGGACGAAAGCTGGAATGTTTGAAATGAATGCTGGCAAAGTAGAATCACTGATTATCTCTCTTGAAGATGACGTTGGTGACCATATTTCGGCATAATCTGAGCCAAATCCACCAGAAACACCAATATCAATATCATCATCTTCAAGTAACTCAAGTTCCTCATCACTAACATCTTCCTCAAGTGAAACTCCACCAACCCAAGTAAGGTCATTAGTTGACATTTATGAAAACTATGACTTTGCTGTAGTTGCCTTAGAACCTACATGATTGGAGGAAGCAATCACTCAAAGTGAATGTAATGGAGCATCGAAGGAGGAAATCAAATCAATTCAAAAGAATGACACCTCGGAGCTAGTGTGTCTATTCGATGGAAAGACTGTTATAGACCTTAAATCGGTGTACAAGACAAAGTACAACTTAGATGGAAGCATATCAAAGTACAAAGCTCGATCGTAGCAAAAGAGCATGCTCAATAGGAGATAATAGATTATGAGGAAACTTTGTCTCCCGTTGCAAGGTTTGAGTCTATTAGAATTGTGTTGGAATTAGTTGCTCAATGGGGATTGCAAGTATTCCAGTTAGATGACAAGTTTGCTTTCTTAAATGGAGAGCTACAAGATAAAGTCTTTGTTTAGTAGCCACAAGGATGTGTTAAAGAAGGAGAAGAAGGGAAAGTGTACGAGTTAAAAAGGCCATTTATGGCTTGAAACAAGCCCCGAGGGCATGATATAGCATGATTGATGCTTTTTTCACCAACACATGCTTCAAAAGAAGTTAAAATGAGCCTACCCTATATGTGAAGAAAAGGGGTATGAATGACTTCATTATAGCTTGTCTTTATGTTGATGACATTATATATCTTAGTTCTTCACAAAACATGTTGGATGAATTTAAAAACTCAATGGGTGCATGAGTTTGAAATGACTGATTTGGGAATTTTGATATACTTCCTTCGTTTGAAGGTAAAACAAGGAAATGCTGGATTTTTTGTATACCAAAGTAAGTATGTTGGTGAACTTCTCAAGAGGTTTCATATGGAGAACTGTGAAACTATGGAAGCACCTATTAATGAAAATAAAAAGATGCAAAAGGATGATGAAATTGGAAAAGCTGATGAGATACTATTTAGGAGTCTTGTAAGGGGAGTGAAATATCTTACACACATTAGTTCAATTATTGCTTATTGTGTTAGTGTTGTGTCTAGGTACATGCATTGTACCATGCATTGAATATTATGACAGATAACACTTTATCTATATTCCGCATGTAGTGTTTACACACCACCACACATAGCTACGTACGTGGTTTTCATATCTATACATGGCCCATTTGTTAGTATATATATTCCAGCGACAATCACTTTTTAGAGATATATGTACTTGATCACATTTAGTTTTATGTATTTGATATATACAGTATTACACACTGATGATTAAGTATTTCGATTGTCAATATCTTATTCATAATTGTGTTCCCTTGCATTTATGTTGTCAATAAGTAAGTGGGAGCTTATATGATATAACATAATGCCCTAAAACAGCTCTAATCAATGATAATCAAGAAAGGGATATTGATGATATGCGATAAGATTTGTATGTGGACTGCATCATGCATACTTTTAGAAAGTATAGTTGATCTCACAACTATGAGTTCATGTAATTCATGATGGTCATATAGATATTTTAGAGAATATTGGACTACCCCATCAAACCATTTGATAAGTTCTGTTCATGTGTCTTATGGGATTATCGGCGTATAAAGTAGTGTAATAGTCCTCCGATTTGAGGTCAATATGTACTACATGTGCGGAGTAATGTACATGAACCATGACCAACGCTTGAACTCCAATCGGGGTAGATATGACATGTGTTGGGTGCATCACGAAGCACATGAAGTAGTAGTTGAGCCAAGAAAGGATAATTCCTCGTAATAGATTAAAAGAGAACATTCTACTTCCCATATTTAGATGGATCATAAAGTCATTGACCAATGCAAAGATATATTCGTTTTGGATATCAAATATGAGCGTTATGAATCATCTAGAAAGATTGAGAGATAGAGATTAAATTATTGGAATAGACACAATATCAAGTTCTAGACTTAGTTGAATGTTCATTGAATAAAAGGACCATATCACTATGAGCTCTATATTACAGGGAGTTTGAATATAGTCCTCTCAAACGTCCTTATATATTAAGATTGTCTGAAGAATCATCTAGGGACTCGTTAAGACCTTAATTTGATTAGTGCTTAATATATAAGACCATATGGGTCACACAACAAGTGATTATACCCTCTAATTGAATTGTCAGAAGAAATTAAATATTAATTAGATTAAATAATATTTAATTCGTAATGCTGAAAATGGATTAAATATTAATTAGATTAAACTATATTTAATTCATGATGTTGAAGGAGAGTTGAATTTGACAGAATTAAGTAAGATAAATTAGATTTATTGTACTTAATTAAAATTTATTTTTAAATAAATAAAATTGATATGGTTTGGAACAATTTAGAATTGAAATAAAGCCAAAGAAAATAATACGGAGCAAGTAAAATAGTTAAAGTTTGAATGGTAGTTCGTACATCCCATGTTGAAACTTTAATGTTTTGCTTTTTATTTTATTTATTATCTTTATTTAATTATTATTGAGTATCGGTCCTGGTAGGACTAGAACTCATTAATAAGGAAGACTTTCATTATGATTGAGAATCTAGTTTAGAACTATGCATTAAATGCACTAGATACACAAGATTTGGTGATTAGGGAATTAGCCACTCATAATCCTTCACATCACCACTACTACCTACCCCATGGTAGTATAAATAGTATTACCTCCGTCCCGTTGGAAGGTTCCCACAACAAAACGACACAATTATTTAGACAATAATTAAATAAAGTACTTCGAGTACGTATATTTTGAAAAATAATTTTAATAGGTATATACTCCGTATTATAATGTAGTTAGTATTGATAATTGTGATGTTATAAATGTATTATTTTTAATATTTAATGATTAATTTTTTACTTAAGATTGTTAATTGTTTCCTAAAATGGAAATGAGAACATTTATATGGGACGTCCAAAAAAGGAAAGTGAGAACCTTCTAATGGAACGGAGAGAGTAACATTTATTTCATTGTTAGGGGTTGACAACTTGTACTTAGTAGCTCTAACTTGTATTCTCTTGCATCCTGAGCTTAAAATAGACCATCGGGGGCCCTCAACCTCAATATGGTGTGTTGTAATTGTTCTCGATCATTTAATAGAACCCTACCCACTCATATAACTGTAAATAGAGTTTTTAAAGTCATACTACGTATGATGGAAAAATGTACGTGTTTTAATTAATAATAATGTTACCATATTTTTCCCTTTGTTTTATTCGTTTTCATACTTTATATTTATTGTTCCAACATAACTAAAATAAATGAGTAACCATGACCTTATAAATTGCATAAAATGTCAATTTACAACACCGGCCTATCTATTTTGTTTTAACAAAGTTAATTACTTAATTTTAGACAAAAGCATGAGTAACGTATGAGATATATAGTGTATGGTAGAATAATATATTTTCATGAAATTTCATTCATAAATAGCAGCATATATAACACATACACATGCATACACATGTAAAATAGCTCATACTAATGCATGCATGCATGCATTGTTGTTACCTTTTCACCAATGGCTTGTTGAATAAGAATAGTGTCAGCGGACATTGTACTTACTATCTCTCCAGATGCAGTTTGAGTGTCAAAGAATGCAATGTCCTGTCTCAGAATTGTTTGCAAGTACAACCCTCTTATACGACTTGCTTGTCTCTCTCCACTAATCATCCAACACGACATTTCTGTTACAAACTTCTTTTCTTTTAGCACAACATCGAATACACAAAATATATATATATATATATATATATATATATATATATATATATATATATATGAAGTATATATTATTTTTAAAATAATACGGATCGGAGGATCGATGGAGTACTTTGTAATTAATTAAGTACAACGTAACTTTCCATGCATATCATGAGCATTTAATTTGTGATGTTAAAAGAAATTAAATGTGTTTACTTTTGTACGTAATTGAAGGAGCTGATCAGAGTTCATCACTTACGTAAAAAAGAAGCTATACCAGAACCGATTGCAAGATAAACATACTTGATGGATACCTACAAGTAAATAAATTAAATAATGCGGGCATCAAATCATTATATCATTCTCAACTATGGTCTATTATATTATATTGATCCAAGATAAGGAAAGGCCTTTAATCTTCATGCTGCAATGCAATGAAAAACCACGGTCTTTTTTGTGTTTTGTTATATGCAGGGCCGGTCCATTGCTCCCCTAGGGGCTAGCTAGGGCCCATAAATTTTCCAGTTATATACATGAGAAATATTTTGGTTAGTCCGAACTAACCAGACTGCCTTAAGGCCAATCCTGTTTGAGCGCCTTTTGGGTTGACTTTTTTAATGAAATTTTATTAGCACGTTTTTCATAAAATGTAAAACATTCACATAAAACTTCGTCAAAAATTTCAATTGGGAGTCCGTTAAATAAATTTTTCAAAAACACTACGCAAACATATGTATAAAATCCCAGTGTTTTTCAACAATTTATTTAACTGTTTTCAAATTGAATTTTAAGCTGAAATTTTGAGCGAATGTGCTACACTTCATGACAAACATGTTCACAAAATTTCATCAAAAAATGTAACTCGGAAAGCCCTCAAACGGGCTTGGCCGTAAAGCGGTTTCTGGTCAGTCCGAACTGACAAAAATTTTATTATATATATATATATATATATATATATATGTTTGTATTTTAATATATACAAATTTAAAAATAAAATCAAACTTATAATTCTTTCATTACATTCAATTTTTTATTCAACGTCTATGAACTACAATTCTAAAATTTTGAAACATCTATACCAGAATTGTTTGTGAACAAATTTCACACTTTCTTTTGATTCATTAAGTGTACGTTAACGTATAAATGTCAATATTTTCTTCTACTTCTCTCATGTAAACTCATGATTCATTGATAATATTTTGCTAATTTTTCTGTTCTCTCATGTAAGTGAAAGATTAAATTAGCGTACTCAGGATTTAGAAACTTGCAATTTGTTTTAGTCTAGTGAAAATGTGAATCAAAATATGAAAATTTTACTCCATAAACGATATAACTTTCGCGTCTTTCCCCAATTCAAAATTATGTACTATTAACAATCGTTCTACTTTGCCATTGAGCCGTTTTGGTACATGGTATTCTTAAATGTCAATTATCAAATACTTAAATATAATCTCTCTAACCGTTCTTTATTAATTTCTTTGATATGTTATACTCGTATTTGAATGAAAAAATGCTTAGATATACTTAATTACAGTTTCTTTGGTGTCTAGCGTCGTCGGCGTGGAGGGGGCGTTTGCCTTTGTCCGGGGGGGGGGGGGGGGGGGGGAGTTCTCTCCTCGGCCCCCGAGACGGAGCCTCCGCTTTCTTGTGGTTTGCTGGCTGTCTTCCCACCGAGGCGGTCTTGGATCCCTCGGCGCTCATGCCCCTCCCCCAATCTCTCGAGGGCAGAGGTTCGGGGCCTCTCCTTGTGATGTTTATCCTTGGATATAACCTCTTGGGAGGCGGTGTCTTGTGCCACAACCCCCTCAGCGTTGCCAATCCGTATTACGGGATTGTTGAACAGAAGAGGGGGTGGCAGACAGACCGTGTTTCCACCAACATAGGGTTGGAGTGGTGCCTGTGAAACGAAGGCACCAGAATTCATCGCCATGTTTTGGATGAAAGTTGCAAAGGCGGCTTGCAAGTCGATGGTTGGAGCCGAAAGGGGAACTTGGTTCTCACTTCGGTCCTTCCTTCGGCTGTTGAGTCCGATGCGGGCATCGGGGGCAGCTTTCTGCAGCTGCTGACGGAGGTCAGTAGTGGCCTGCTTCAATTCGAGGATAGTACCGCCTTCGGGTACCAAGAGCATGTTGGAGTCTTCGGCCCCGTTGGCTTCGCCGGGGGCTGCGTGGTTTTCCTCGAGGGTTTTGGATTGACCACGAGTCCTTCCCATTTTGGTAGGTGTTTTTGTTTTTGACGAAGGGGAGGGTTTCTTAGTTGATTGTTCGGACCTCTCAACGAGAGCACCAAATGATGGATAGTGTACCCGGGGTAGCTTATCCGGGGGGTTACTATGAGAATAACCTAGAGAGAAGTCAGAGCAAACAAGTAGGAGAGAGAGAGAGACGATTCTATTAATGAACTCGAGATGTTCCGGTCTTTACAAGAGGAGTAAGGGCTGCTATTTATAGCAGCAATAAATGCGATGAGAGTACACGTGTCAATAATCTAACGGCCGAGGGGTCACCTCAATCGGGGTGGCATTGGCACTCGCATGTGCACTGCATTGAATGCGGTGGGTGGACGTGACGCTGCATTAAATGCGGTGATTGGCTGTCTCCAAAGGGCATCTTCGATGATTGAGCCTGTTAGCCGAAGGCATTCCACGCAGCCGAGGGCTCCGTGTAGCCGAAGGCTCTGTATAGCCGAGGGCTTGGTTCAACCGAAGGCTTCTCTAATGCCGAGGGCTCCCGTTTTCTGCCATTTTCTCCCAGTAGCTTTGTATGGTCGAATATGGCTGTTCTGTGAGTTTTGGAGCCTTCGGCCATAGTGCCGAAGGCTACCTGTATGTGCGCTGCGGTTCTCCTAGAGCTTGGGCCGCAGCATCTCAGCATCTTGGACCTCCTGCACTTCTTGGGCTTGTTGGGCCTGTGATAGAGTAGTAGGAGTCTGTGTGGTGGGGATTCCTGGATCATATACTCTGTAGTTATTAAAACCCGTAAAACTGAGAAGGTTGAATGTGAATGGTGTTATATATACGGTGATTCCAAATTAAAGAAACTGGAGGTAGGTAATGCGTTTTTGTGAGGTTAGAGAATACGACAAGTAGAAGTGGAAGTGAAAGATATCAATCATCATGTTAGATTTGATGTAAAAGAAAGTTCCGCTTCTAAAGTGGTTTTTTGCCACTTGCAAGACCAACTTCACGGTCAAGCTAATTAAGTTGAATATAATAAAGAAAAATGTCATTTTCCTCTAACATACTCCGCAGAAACTTTTGTCCAATAAATCGATCACGCTTCCCACTTGGGAAAAAGTTCATTAATCGATTCCACTTATAGTCAATAATAATAATAAATAAATAAATAAATAAATAAACGGTCAGCACGTAAAGTTGAGGTGGCTCGTTAATCATACGGAGTATTTACTTACTATAACTCAAAAACTTACCAGTATAAAATTGAATCACGCAAACAGATCTTGTCTTTTTGTAGACTGATTTCTTTATTTTTTATATTTTCCCCACCTCATCAATAATATTTGAGGTTAGTGCACTTTTTAATCCCAGGTCAACTCAAATTTTCGATCGGGCCCATACATAAAGATATTTATTTTCAAAAATATTTAAACAATTAAACACCTATAACTTTCACCTTTCTTACCTACTTTATCAATTTTCTCATTAATGACATTCACTCTTCTAGTACGTGGCCACACTCAACAGCACTTTTTTCATGTGTATGCAGACATTTGATCTAAAAATTCCAATTTTTTTACGAATTGCTTCTACACACAAATAAAATCTGCCGGGAGTATAAAAAACAATTTTTATTTTGGACTTCTTGAAATGTTCCTTTTACTCGAAGATACATTTTAGCACTCTGTAACACTATTTTGCATTGTGTTGTCATTAGTGTGCAAGGGTAGTAGAGTAGGTGATGTAAATTTATTTACGAAGTCTATTGACTATCCTCCAAAGTCTCTAGACAGTCAAATCCGGTTATTATCACAATCAATTTTCGTCGATACTGGTACCACATGATGAATCTAGCAAGACTTCCTTTCAACTAAATCCAGAAGGGTCCTCCTATTATGCAGAGCTTTCTTTCACAGGAAGAATCATGGGGAGCAAGACCTCCCTCCTCTTCTTAGTATGTACCTAGCGAGATTCGAACCCGAGACCTCTGCTAGGACACGATAACCTCTCATCTGGTGTGCTGGAATGGTTGGTTATTTAGAGTATTTGAAAATTAATACTACTACGTACTAGATCGACTTTGGCTTCATTGACGGAGTGAGTGTGCAACAGTTTTTGTTGAAAACCAGTTACAGAGTGGGGCCGGCCGGGTAGTAAAAATATATCGTAGGGTAAATAATTAAATTCTATGGTACCCATAAGGTACCATACTTTTGTCCACATGGCGCAATGAAAACGTAGCAGTTGAATTATTTAAATCTAAATTAAAAATGATAAAGTGATGTGGTCCAATCAAATGAATGATAGTACGGTACCCCATTTTTTAAAAAAGGTATCAGAGTTGTCACCAATAATGAATCAATCCAAAAGGTGGAATCTCTCACCCCAGAAGCCCCCACCCCAACCCGACAGGATGATGGGGAGGTTAGTCACGGTGACTCAGTCAGTAGAATGACAGTAGACCCATACACTCGTGCGCACCAAAGGTCCAACCTTATTTTAGGTTTTGTGACCTCCGCCCAAAGGCCTAATCAGGCACACCCAATCAATCAAAAATATATGAAGTATATACATGACCGGCTCAATAGATTAGGAGACCCGGTACAAATCATTTAAATTAAAATAGGTCTTATATTAAATCAATATAATATAAAAAGCAGCCTTTAAAAAATAACCCAAAAAACTACAATCAAATGTGACATTGAGATATAATCATATTTCGAACCTGAACACCCAAAATCAGTAAAAAAAACTAAAACAGAAAAGAAATGAACTAAAATCATGAACTAAAAAATATAGAGTAGGATATTATCCAGGCCTTAAAATCAAGCTCGTCCAAATTATACGAGGAAATTGTTCTAATTACTATAACTAGACCTTATCCAGGCCTTATGTAATAAAGAAGCTGCACATTTATAAATAACAATTGCATTTTAATCACATATAAATATTAGTATTTAGGGAGAACTATTAAATAAGCCCTCCAACTTTCATAAAAAGTGCAAATAAGCCATTTTATAGGAGGCTCTATCCAGCCGTCGCCATTTGGGGCGGTTTCCGGTGGAAGTTTTTGATTAAATTTTTTGAGTATCTTCTTCATTAAATCTAGTTTATTCATACCAAATTTCAGATAAACATTCAATCGGAAAGACAGTCAAATGAATTTTTGAAGATAACTGCGCAGTTAGACAACGCAATATATTTCAGAAAATCATTTGACTGCCTTCTCGATTGAATTTTTAGCCTAAATTTGGTATGGGTAAACTAGACTTAATGAAGAAGATGCTAAAAAAATTTAATAAAAAAAATTCCACTGGAAACCACCCAAAATAGCGACAGACGGACAAAGCCTTCTGTAAAAGGGCTTATTTGCACTTTTTATGAAAGTTCGAGGGCTTATTTGATTGTTCTCCCTAGTATTTAATGTTTGTATTTGTTTAAAAACAAAATACTAAAATAGGAATCTTTAAACAAATAAAAAAGGATTTTGTATATTATGTAAAGTATATTTAAAATTTTGGGCCTTTTGGATCGAGAAGCCTTGTGCGGTAACACTTCTTGTAAGCCCTCATCTACGGCCTTGAGTATATAGCAGGCGATGGCCGGTCGACCGGCCGGCCTGATACTAGCTAGCTAGCTAGTATACTGGAGTATATATATGTATATATATGTATGTATGTATATACCTGGGAGATGTGATGAAGAAGAAGGGATGGATGAAGAGTGGCAAAAGCGTGAATAAGTTGAGCGAAGAGGAGGGTCATGAGCGGGGCCGAGAGGCCATTGGCGACGGCTCCGAGCGTGCCCAGGATCATCAAACCCACGTCCACCCCGTCCGCAAATGAAAACAGCAGCTTGTACAGTGCAACCTTCTTCTTCTTCTCCGCCTCGCTCCTCATTCTACCTTTTCTCTCCTCATATCCATCCAACGTGCTTCTATATGTGTATATATATAGTCGCGACCACTCCTAACAATTTCAAAATTTTCTCAATGGAATAATCCTATTTTTATTCCCAAATAATAATAATGTGTGTCCCTCTTTCGATTCTACCCCTTTCTTATAATAGTTAATGCATTTGTTTTATTAACAAAAAAAAAAAATCATACTTTTATTTAAGATAAAAATATAAAAATGACATCTTGTGTAAAATATGTCACATTCCTCTGAAAATGTCACGAAGATGACATTTTTACACTTTGAAAAATATCTAGCTTAATGTTCAAAATTGTCATCCCTCCTTGCTCGTGTCTCTGTTTGGCATCGATATCATAGATCGATTCATATTAACTGATCCCAAATTCTTTTGGTATCAATGCTTGGATGTTGTTGTTGTTGTTGACCGGATGTGGCAGTGTTAGAAGGTGGTCGAGATGGTCCATACCTATACATTTTTTTTATTTTTTCACAAACATATTTTGTATGTGAACATACTAGTCACGCACACAATATAGCTTGTTCACACACATGTGTAGTGGTGCGTACGTAAAAAGTGTGCATAACTTTTTTTTCCTTTTAGCTAGAAACAAGTTATTGCATAAGTAATGAAATTTAAACTATTTACAAAATAAAAACATTATAATTCTATTATGGAATCCAAAAGATGTTCACTCATATTTCGGGGATTCTCCCAAATTTGAATTGTATTAAAGTATAGCAAATGTAGGATTTTTTTGAATCAAAACATGCCTCTATTCATATCAAAAGATTCAGGATCATTACATCAAGCAAAGAGAAAATAAAACTGACACCAATTGAAACTCCAACCACTACGACTGTAACCCTATGGTGAGACTTTGTGACGGTCACCCCTGAGAGAGCAACACGAAACGCTAACCATGTACTGGGGTTGACACAGCCAAACCTATTCCCATAGATCCAACCATATCCAATGACATAAAGAGAGGCAAAAAGCTCTAACAAACTGTCAAAACCAAATACATAACTGGATGCAAGAAAACAAATAACAAATAGATAAAAACTACAAGAAAAACGTTCACGAACTCTAGCATCTCGTGCATCCCATGGTGGTGGTTCAGGAGGAGGTCGGACCGTTGCTTGATTGACACCCGCTCTCAGTAGCGTTTCTGCCGTATGACCCAAATCCATGCCATCGAATGGAGCGTTCAACCTCTCCACGTTAACCATGTCTCGATCATCCCTACGTCTCTCTCCCGCTTCTACCATCATCTTCTCGCTACCACGATCATCCATCCCGAGCTGCATCACAACCACAGTAATCCGGCGCAGAACTGCGTCGATTGAAAAGAAGCGCCACACCAGGGCGGCGAAACACAAACCCTACGCGAGAGCTCTCGCTAGGGAAAGTCCACTTTTTTGTTATAGACAAATAATAATAGCAAATGTAGGATTAAAAAGCTACTCCTATTTAGAGGATTTAAAAGTCATACTACTATCGTTGCAATTTAAAAGTATATACGTAGTATGTGTGAGAATAATAAATAGAATTAACCAGACGGGTAGCTCTGACAGTATATTTATTGTTGAGTTTAAGTCCCGAATGACCCAAAGGCTCAACACCAACCTTGGATCTAGGGTTCAAATGCTACAGTAAAATGTATAAAGAAATATAAAAACTGATTGATCCACTCAAATATCCCTGCTTGTATTAACGCAGTAATACCAATTACACGGAAACGGCCGAACGGCAGTTACGGTCCGAATGCTAATACAAGAGCTAGAGTGCAATATAATCTAGTGAGTAAATAAATGTTAACCCTTTACAATGAAATAAATGACGTTATTTATACTAGCTGGGGGTAGGTGAGGGTATGGGGTGATCTATCATGATTGGCTTCCTTCCAAGCCACTTGTGCACCCATGCTCCCACTTGAGACCTTCATACTCCAGCATTAAATGCAGTCTGCCACTTGAGAGAATCCCCGATCGGTATTAAGATCCGCTAAGCTAATGATCCAGAAGAACACTCATTGTCCAAGTGTTAATTACGTTCCGTTGAGGATGTGTCGAACGGAAGTATCTCTTAAGCCACCGAATTCCCGTTCGCGGCCATCCATTTCTCCTTGGGCCTTTCCCGTTCCTTGAGCCCTAGGGATATTTTGGACCGGTATATTGGGCCCGATCTAATATCCCATCACAAGTCCCCCACTTCCGATGTTCCGAGCGTGCTCGGGACATGAGGAAGTAGAAAAGCAGACTTCCTGTCGTTTGGTGTAATCCCGTGCGGTGTTCTTGGCTAATGTCTGTCTGTTCTTGATGTGACGGTTCAAAACTCTTTGACGGCTTGCTTATATTCCCCATATAACGCCATGATTACTTGACGTTCCACCTTCATGCGACACGTGTTCCTGGGGACGCTCCTTGTGACATGTCCTTTCGGGATTGGTTTGTGAATCGACACCTTTAGGTTATAAGTTTGATTTTGGACCCTTGGTCCCGGGTTTTCGAATTTTGCATCTTCATTCAAGTGCTCTGTCTTCTTTCAAATCCCTAATTTCCCAAGTTCGTTCAAGTAACCACCGGTCCTCCCTTTCTTCTTCCCCTTCTTTACTTTTCTGTTGGTTCGTCACAAATGTCGACGAGCTCTGATCCTTTTGAGCCCTCCATTATTGAACCAGTTCGAGGTTCTGAGACCAACACTACCGTTGATGATACGACGGACACCTAGGGGAGAGCAAACCCGACCCTACCCGATTGACCCGATCGGATATATCCAATTTTTTTGTTGGGGTCGGAAAACCCGACCCAAAATACCCAAACCCGATCCGATTCTTGCAACCCGAGACTTAAGCGGGTATCGGGTAGGGTTACCAATTATGCTACCCGACCCGCCTGAAAAACTGAACTAGCGTAATACTATCATCATCCGTTCTGTTTTAATCGCAACATGTTGAATTTTACACTATTCACATGCTCTACTTTGACTACATTTTACGCTATTATTTTATGAAAATTATTTTTTAAAATAAATATTGTTCAAATCATCTCATTACAAATTTTCAAAATCTGATTTTTAATACGAGTATTTTTTTACTAGTAGAATTAAGATATAATTACGGTCAAAGACGTGCATTGGCAAATGTGAAATGTTGACCGTTGCAACTAAAAAAGAACGGAGGGAGTATATATATACTACGTAGTACATAGAATAATTATGCATGTTCAAATATCTCAATTATTGTATGTCAATGACCATATTATGCATGTTCAAATATTCCAATTATCGTATTTGTACAACTATAACTTTGAATGTTGTATTGTTATGACTTTGAATGATATTTTGACCAATTATCATTTTATTTATCACAATATCAAATATGTCAATCACCGTATATTATTATTTTACATGTTCAAATATGTCGATTACCGTATTTACACAACTATTACTTTGAATGTTATACTAGTATAATTTTGAATGATATTTTTACCAATTACCATTTTATTTATCACAATTTTAACAATAATAAATTAAAATCCGAATGGATCCGAAAACCTTATCAACCCGACCGCAACCCGAATTTCTTCAACCCGAAAAGCCCGATAATTTTTTTGATAGGGTAGGGTTTGAAATTATCAATCCGATACCCGAACGGGTTTACCATTTTTGAACCCGACCCGCCCGAACCCGACCCATGATCTGCCCTACGGACACTAGTGCTGCCATGGAGGATGCGACTGAAAACCCCCCTTCCGCAAGCGGTTCTGAGAATATTGAATTCGGTAGTTCTTCAGATGATGCCTCCAGCAATGATTCTGATGATGCCGTATCTGGTGATGATATGGCGGTGATGAGGCAAGGTCCTCTTGATGATACCCCTCCTCACCACTTGGATTTGCGGTCCATTAAAAAATGGAGCCAAAAGATGTCCAACAAACTTAGGGCTCAAGTTCCATCCCTGATTTCCAACCCGGTCGATTTTCGTCTTCACGCTGGTCTCCACCCACTGCGCCACCGCCCCGGGATGGTGGTGGTGGACCTTGATTCTATCAAGGCCGGGCTAAGATTTCCGCTGCACCCTTTCTTTGTGGCCATTCTTAACCACTACCAAGTAGTCTCGACCCAAGTAATGCCGAATTCTTACCAGGTGATAGCCATGTTTATTTTCTGTTGCAAGGATGTGGACGTGGTGCCTCTCCTAGACCTTTTCACCATTTCTTCAAGGTTGCACCCCAACAAACTGATGGATTCCTGGCAGTGAGTGCCCGACCGAGACGAATCCTTTTCAAGGGGAACCTCACTTCCATCAAGGGGTGGAAAGACCGATTCTTCTTCGTTTCTGTTCCGGATGGCCTTATCCGTAAGAGGTGGAACGCTTATCCACCAAAATCCGCCGAGCCTTTTGTCATTAAGGAGCTAGAAGAGAAAGTCAATGCACTAGAGAGGGTCAAGACGTTGGATATCATGGACTACTTAACCCCCGTTCGGCTCGTGGAAGCCGGGATAGGTACCGCCCGAATTCCTGGGACTCTTGACTGAAAACCAAGTACCATGGCCCGGTGCGGTCCTCCCTGTGTGAGAAACTTACTCATTATATTCTATCATTTCTGCCACGTTAAGACCGCTCGGTACTAACGTTTTTCTTTTCTTTCTTTCAGCTCCCAACACCGAAGCAACCATGAACATGAACCGTCTTGAGGAGATGGGTGCGGTAAATAGGAAGAAGCCTTCCAAGAAGATGGCCAGGACCTCGGCCTCTGAAGCAACTCAACCGGCAGCTCAGCCTGTGGTCCAGCAACCCGAGCCACTTCAATAGATTCCTCTCGAGTAGGTGAACTTTGATGCCATGGCGGTGGATCAGCCGTTTGGGGACCTGCACTCCAATCCTCTTTTCATTGAAGCCCCGGGTTCGTCCGGTGCTGCCGACGTTGTGGCCGAACAGGCCAACATATCGAAATCTCTGGAACCGGTCATTTTAGAGGACCCGATCCACACGATTATAGAA